GAAAAAAATGAATTATTGACAGACACTGTCGAAGAAATGTTTCCTCCCGAGTGGATACACTGAGATTTTCCGAATATACCAATTTATTTGGCAATCTGACGGTCTGTAGCATTTGATCCGAGGACAAGGCACATATTTGACAAAAGTAGACAATGGATAAATATGCAAATACCTTATAGTTAGGCGAAAATCAATGTCACCCCAACTTTAGTTGAAATATCACAGAAAGATAAACGAAGCGGAACGGAATCTTTGGGTGGAGGGGGGAGAGATTGCACAGAACGTCCAGCGTTCTACCTCAAATCGACTCGTAAATGTCTCTTATGGTAATCGATAAAGCCAGTCCATGGGCAGAATTGGGTAAATGGTTTTTTCACATCGAGCGTCCGTGGACGGCACCCATTGACCTTCATGGCATACAACAACCGACGGTCCTTGGATGTGATATCCTTTTGGGCAGTGAAGAAATGCCTGTGTTCCTTGAATGGCTTCATTGTTGAATTGTTGTTCCGCGGTGTGTTGAGCGTTCGGTTTCATTTCAATGCTCATCATTTTATCAACAACCAGCCGCGGGCATCGAGCTGCAATCCAAAATGAGACCCGGATCGTGAATCAATACCGTTTCAGTAAAATGTGCAATAGAGTGTTGATGTGAGTGTGAAGTTTTTTTTTGAAGGTCAAAAGGGTTGTGGTTTTTGATTTATTTGTTCTGTCTATTTAACATCCCAGCGCTAATAATAAACTTTTTGTACTGTGCATTCAACCGTCAACTGAAAGCTATTAGGAGAAGTCAATCGGTGACATTACATTCAGAGGCACAATGTGGTACCCTTCTCTGTCGACAGATGATTTGCAATTTCAAATTTTTTTCCAGCTAATTCACTTCAAGCGAACACTACACCAAGTGACCGAGGTTTATCACTTGCATCCAGCCATCATATACCAGATTTTGTCATTAATGTTGATCAATACATTGATTTGTGCACCTGTGCATCGTGTGCGCAGTTCGTAAACGTTTACTTCCGGTTTTCATCCAATCATTGTTTTTACAACCATGAAAAGAATGGTATTTTATTCATGCTACTTATTTATTGAGCACCAATAGATTCTGTTGCTCCATCGATTTTCTGTAATGAAACTGGGCACAAAAAGTATACATCGCTTCTTAAAATCACATCGCTCATTAAAGTTGACTCTTTTTATCCATCTGAAGTGCGGTCGATCCGAGTTAAAACATTCAATAATGGTTTGACAAATTCCCCCTTCAAAATACAATCAAGAAACCAGGTTTTGGGTGTTTGAGATAATTCTGTGTCCACGAATCGTCATCACCTTTGTGCATCATTTATGATAAATGCATGATGATTGCCAATCAAATCTCGGATGAAAATTAAATGCTCATATTTTTCCTTGAAATATCCTCCTTCGAATTGTGTTCTTACTGGGTAAAATGTGTTTAAGCCTGGTTATTATAATTCGGTTCCCTATATTTCCCTAGTATATTTCCAGAGTTTCACGGGGTTGCGAAGTTGTGTTTGGTTGTTTTAGACTGGAAAATAACGTTGTGTGCTGTTCATAAATTATTAGGACTATTGTTCATTTATTAAAGACAAACAAATACAGCCATCTCACGTGTCAGTTACAAGCAGTACAGGCAGATTTCGCTTTGTATTGTGGAATTTCAAACGTCAAGTCTGAGGTTTGGCGTTTCTCAGAGTTTTTAAAAAAATTCATATTTATGCATAATATATGAAGATCAACGAGCCTCACAGAACAGAGCACCAAGCTCACCAAATACTCTAAATGGTTTCATCTGGGAAATTAACTTCTTTGTGAAACATTTAATTCATTACCACATTGATAGCGAGACGCTTCAATTTAAAATCTGTAATCGCAACTTTTGTAGAGTTTGGTTTGATGTTTTCACAGGTGTGCAGTCTGTGGAACTACCGCAGATTGGCAACGATGGGGGTATACGAATATTTGTGCCGCAGGAGTTATAGGCTTATCGATCTGCTCGTTTGCCTTTATTTGATAAAGAAGTCTGTAAAACCCAATTGACATTAATATTTGATCCCGTAACATAGGATACAGATCATGATTTTAAAAGGATAAAGTTACAGCATTAGATAAAAAAATAATTTATACTACATGTGTCCCGCCTTATCATTAAGTGTATAATTCCAACAACTTTGAAGTCCTGATACCCTAGGTTCTCTATCCAAACTTACTAGGTTCGCAGTAGACTGCAGTACCGACCCACTCGCCATGAAGACATCGAATGGTCCCCAGCGGGTCGTTTACCGGACTGGATCGACGGATTTTCCCAACCTGTAAGTCAACTTGTAGCTTATATCCGGGAAAGCATTCGTAACGTGCTTTGGCATTGTGTAATCGGCTGTAGAAGCGAACACGGGCGCCTCGGGTGCCCGGCGGACGTTTGGCACATGATGCTGAGCAAGGAATGAATACGTGAACGGGATAAGAGATGGGACATACACTATCCAATGTTTACCAAAAAATAATCCACTTGCATAATATTTTATCGCTGAATTGAATTTGGTTCATGACCGGTTAAGAGTGAACACCTAGTACCAGTTCTGAACAGGGTGTGGACAAACGGCGAGCGTAGAAAAACAATGCGTAGAGCAAATCCTTTTTGGATCCAATGAAAGAGTTATGATTACTCTCCCTCTCTCTCCAGTTAACCTTTATTTTCCTCAGTCGACCATTGCGGATAGCTTGGTTCATTGAATGATATTCACGATATACACTGCGTGCAAGTGCACGTTCCTTTCCAGCACTTTCAGTTTAACTCGGATCCTCACGTGATCCTTCGGATTGATTATGGTCTCTACTTATCTGATGACCGTTACCGTTGTATCTTCATCTGGCGGGTCTATCGCACCCTTGTCATTATCTTTGATCTAATGAGTGACCTCCGCACCTCGGCTTTGTTCTCTCACTGCCCCTATCCCTTATTTGCTCCCATCACTGGACGTGGGGGGGGGGGGGNGCGAATGATTGCACTTCTGATCATTGGCTGTCCGCGTCTGGTGAACCGACCTCCTCGTTGTTGGACCCAAAATGGTATTTGTGTATCCCCTTTTCTGAATGCATTTGCTTGCTTTTCATATAACGCTGTTGTGCACTTGCCACTCCCACCTTTTTGGGACAAAATGACCGAGTGGCATTCTTGAGTGACTTTGATTTAGGCTTACCTAACTGAGCTGAACAGTACCGTACGCATTGCGGATCCATATCTCCTCGATGTCGGGTTCACATTTGACTCGAGGATCTCAAAGACACTATACAGAATTGCCGCAAAATTGTCGATTGCTCTCGAAATGTAATCCAACTGGAGGAGATTGTTTTGGATGTTAACTTGGACTATCAATGTAACTAGCATTTTGCCCACTTGAATAACTAGTACCTCTGGTTACCTTTTTCGAAAAATCTATGAAATCATTTCTTGAAATAATGTAACTTGAACAATGCGTAAGTATTTTCAATGAATAGGAATATATTACCGTTTCAATTAACCATGGAATAAGTTGTAAGAAAAATGTACCTCCTAAAGCCCAATCCCTTCAGTTTGAACCATGACCACGACTGTGGTAGAGTGCTTTTGTATAAAAAGACGTATTTCTTCGGATTGGAATAAGTATAAATTGTGCCTCATAAACGTAACGTAAAACAAATACTAAACAGGTCGGCCTCGTTCCACGGATCACGCAATGAAGTGAAACAGTTTGTTAGAGTGTGTATATGCAGAGCAGACAGGGATACCCAAAAAAGAACGTTCATCGAAGAATGTGTTTGACTACTACTATGTGTTTCAGTCACTCTCAAGTTCTCTCGTTTTTGTTTTGTTACCCTCTCATCTGCGTTTGATGCTCAACCCACATTGTCATAGAGTTATCTGTTGTTTAGATCACCTTTTTGAACATCGCTCCTTAGGAAACCACTTGACCTCGACTTATTGAATGGCTGGACAAACTGCAATCTGTTCTGCTGCCATTGCTTGTGATTTAATTCATATAACGCAAGTTAGGATCTTACTCGTGGCTGCACAAGTATTACTCACATCCTATTTCTTGTTTCTCTACATCCTTGAGAAAACCGTTGATCCTTGGACGGCAAGGTAAATTTGAGTGATATTTTGTTACCACCAAATCTGTTTTACGTCTGTACTTGTGACGTGCTCCCCCCCCCCCTCAGGGCTCCTCATTCCGATGTAACCGATTAGTATTCATTCAGCATCGCTCCTAGTATCCAGTTCGGTATGGTTACCTGCCCACTTCCCGTTGAACTCTCGTTTAAGCCGCTTTATTTTTCCTCATTACGTGCATTTCGTATCCCATTAAAACGCTTGCATTACCAATGAACAACCGTGAACATGGACCGATTGGCGGTGATTGATTGATTTTTCTCTTCGATTACTTTGTTCTCTTGGATGTTTCTCGGTCTTTGGTTTCACAGTTCCTTGTGAGTTACTTGGCTCAACATCGCGTTCTATTTTGAACTTCACTATCTGGTTTCTGAGCCGAAAGGCTCATAACCTGAGGTTTGTTGTACACATTGTTTGTCTATCATGTGCCTCACTACAGGTGGAGTACTGAATTCGTGTTCCAGTTACCCAGACTAGGGGTTCGTATTCGTATTCGTTCAACTAATATATACGTAACGAAAGACCTCGATGCAAGCAAGATGAATAATTTACTTTATGCATTGATCAATGAATCACTGTTGAAAAAAACGTTGGCTTTTTGCAACCAATGGCTCCATTGATCAGAAGAAAATCATGGGAGCACGTACTGATAGTTTTATATTGTATTTCTATCCCTTACCATTGAAACTGAAACCGTTTTCCACATGAAATTGTAGTAAGTTCAATAGACATTTACCGAAATTGAAATTCAATCGTATTATGCAAACTTGAAATGCAAACTACTAAGTGATGATATCTCTAAACCCAAAGTCTGTATTGCGGAGCTGGATTTTTTAAATATTCACAGCTTCACAAGTATTGCAGACAACCCAACGAAATCAAAACAACCAAGACACTACTACATTGTGCACTGTGGTGCTTATATTGTGAAATTCGTTTCTATCCTCTAGCTTTCCGTCGATCAAAGTCGGCCGATTGAAAACGTCAACTAAACGACTGTTTGATCGCTAAATGAAGAAAGGGGATAGTTTACTCGATTCGCCTTCTGATGCATTTATAAAATTTGAAGAAATATCATTTGATATCTGACCACTGGTTGAATGGTATCAACGATTTGTCAGCGTAATTCGGTGAAAACAAGTAATAAAAGCTGAATTCAATAAACTATTTCATGCAAATAATAAAACAATCTTAGCATTCGGTAACGTGTTCGTTATCCAACGGTTATTCTTTGTGGGTGAAACGCTTATGTCTAAAATGAATTTAAGCTTTTCCCATACAACGTATTTATCATTTCACGACAAAAGAGATTTAAATGGAACATAATCAATCATAAAAGACAATGACTAAAATGTCCTGACGTAACGTACGATGCCACGAGCAGACAAGACTGATAAGCAAGGCTTTTCACATCTTGGTAGATCGATTGCGATTCGGTGTGCATTAGCAATGGAAGCTGAAGCTGCAAGATGGGTTTGCCCAGTGTTACAAACATTCTAAATTCCATGGCTGAACAGTTTGTGACAATTAGCTACCCGTTGGGCTGGCTTTCAACGGAAGAAAAATGACGACATTTTTGGTCTGGGTCCTGTTTACACTCTTTAATACGAAATACACATATTGATCAAACTCGTACAACCCCCTGTGTCTTTCATCACATTTGTCCCTCCCAGCGCGTCGTGCTTTGAGTTGCATTCACGTGGTATATCTGAGCATACATGAGTTGCAGTGGGAGATCAAATTTGGAATAAATCATCTTTACTCGTAGCTATCGATTCACATATATGATATTGGCAACTGAAATGTATTTCCAAAATACGTGTCATGTATCACGATTTGGTTTAATACCTGTCTATCCGTTGACTATAGATACGAGCATCTGATTACTCAAGATTTTCTAAATACGTTTCAGTGCAATGCATATTCGAAATATGAGAGGAATAGAGAATTTGATTTGATTATATGGTGAATTCATTGTCTTATTGGGGTGTGAGCTGAAAATCTAGTGAGCACTGTACGGCTATTTCGATCTATTTGGGTCTCATCAGCAGTACGCGAATCAATCAACCCAAATGGGGATCGAAATCCGGACTTCAAATGTAGAACGTAAGCATACTACCCACTCGTCCATGGAGCAGCTGATCAGATCGTTTTCCACTCCGCATTTACGGTATGGCACAGCTCAGCTTGGCGAGCTCGTTGCGGACCTTGCTTATCTCAGCACTAACCCCAAGGATTATGGCTGGGTTTGGAACTCTCACAACCTGACTACCTGTTATGTGAGACAAACCCTTCATTCCTGTCTAATTTCGGATGTGTATTACAATAAATCCTCGAAGGTTAACCAACGGTTATGCTGACACAATTTAAGAATGTTTGGCCCTATTCTGTTCCTGGCGTTCAGCGAATCGAACGGCCTAATAATAACTGTGATAAAAAATTGAAACCGAGGAAGGTATCAACCGAATCGATGTTTTACCAAATTCAGATTTCAGTGAAGAAGCTATAGACCAATAGTCGATGTTATGATTCCAACCTCAAAAATGTGAGATGATCGCCTTGGAATCATACTGTGATATAGACTGCTCGACGGGGAATGCATCAAAATGGCCCACTTTTTGGAGGTTGTTTCCTATGGATATCAATGGATATTTCTCCATGATGAACAGTCTCTAAAAGGTAACCAAGCTACAATTGTTCTCCATAAATCAGTCTATACATCTCAATACATACCACTACTTGCGAATAAAGTTTTCTTGGAAAAATAAAA